ATTCTCTGTACGTTTGTGGAAACGGGCCAGGATGAGGGAGATAATTTTGAGTGGTGTCTCCAGGAGACTTGGATTGGAAATAGGAAGAAGTGTTCCTTCCCGGGCTTGATGAAGCCAAAGGGGTCAGTTATCAGCAGTTGAGGAAGTATCCAAACCATGCCACCATGGAACAACAGTTTCTCCATCCTCTCTGGATCACTACCTAGATTAGAGAGCCTTCGGAGTTGGTGAACCAGTTTTGTTTAGATGCCAGAAACTGCTTTCTTTTTATACTGCTTTGATGTCACAGAAAGCTCTCATGGAACAGTAAAGAGCAATCAACAGTACTTTTAACAGTGCAAGTCTGCACTTCATGCTCACGAAAGAGGGTAGGATGAATTTTATCACTCACATAGCTGCCAACTCTTAAAACATGAATGCCCTAACTCCTGAGCCAGAGAGAAAGGACAGAAGTTATCTCCATGCTGGGTCCACCCCTGTTTACCAATACACTTCTCCATTTCCACACACATCTCTCCTCAAAAGATGGCGTCTTTACGATGTGGCATAGGTGGTTGAACGGGAAGATGCTAAGCTGGAGAAATAAAGTCCACCATTTGACACAGTCGACAAAAAATTCTAAGATAAAGAAATGGTGAGGTAGAGTTGAGAGAGTTCAATTAAATTTTTGAGCAGAGACCTTTTGGCACATTCGTAAATAGGCTCCCTATCAAATTCTCCTTTGTGATACCTTTACAAAGTGCTTACAACTCAAGAACTCTTGGATCTATTTAGGAAACATCTATGTAAAGCTAACAGAATAAAGTCATTTGAAGAAATCCATTCCTGGCACTTTAGCTATTATTTACCCCCATAGCGAAGCAAATAAAAACGATGCTATCCATTTGCTGAATTTATTTAAACAAATTGATTTAGAAATACCATAGAATTAAACAAAACTTCTGACATGTAAACATACCGCCATGTTCCTGAAACAGATGTTAACACCTGATAAGTTAATAATCACTTGTTAGGAAAGCTGTCCATTAATAAGGCCAGTTTTCAGCAGAACTAAAACCATTTTGTTTCTTTAGCCTCCCTAGTCTGCAATGCAGCACCGTCAAACCACAATCAAATAAAGATAACATTGGATGGACAGATCAGTACCATTGGTTACAGCTGTTAAACAAGTTTCATTCTTGGCCACATAAAACCAATTAAGCCAATCACATCAAATAAATCATGGCTTTTTTCTTTATCACAATTCACGAAGTGATGTTAATTATGGTCCTTGTCAAACACGTTTGGTAAAGGCTATTTACAGTGTACATGGCTGAGCATGCACTATTTATAGTTACAAAGATACCTGCCAGTTTATTACAAGAGAATTACACAGTGCCTGAAAACGGTGAAACATCTCACACATCATTTAAATCAATACAGTTTCAAGCAGGAAACGTTCCTTATTTGACCACAATTGCAATAATTACATGAAAATTCATATAAAAACACGAATCCCCTTCAAGAAATTGATGCATATTCTACGCACTACAGGTTAAGGCAGTAAAAAAATGTATTCCTGATAACTGGAGGTCTTGACAATGTCAATTAAAGCTGTCTGACTCTAGTTTTTCATTCTCCATCATATATTTAAAGTTTGAATGATTTCATTTTAAAGTCAAAAAAGCATTAGTAACTAAGAAAAGCTGGCACTGGAAAAAAAGTAATTGCTAAGAAAAGAAAAAATATAAGTTGGATTTTGCCTGAAAGTTTTCAAATCATAAACAAGAGCATTATTTGTGAGTCTGAACGTTGAATGTATAAAACAAATACATATAGTTTACCTTTCTTAATTTAAAATATACTGTACTTTGAACAATTCAAGTAATGTAAGACTATCAAAAATAACTTCATAAGTCATACAAGTGTCAACTGTGTTTTCAATGTTTTAATTAAGAACCTTTTAAAAACTAAACCATGACAGTTTAGTTAAACAAATGATAAAATGACTTTTTATTTGCACTTGTGATTCCTTTAATACAAACTGCTACCAACAAATATGTAAAGATATGGCAGATTATGCATTTGATCAAAGCACTTTGATTTAAGCATAAAACAGATTCAAATGGTACAGGTTCCGTGCATAAGATCCAAGGAGTTGCAAGGAGTTCCCTACTAATTTGTAGGCAACGCTCTTCTAATCAGATCCTTTATTCCTCGGCTGTAGATGAGATAGGGCACAGTCTGTTGTAAACAGGGCACTGTTGTAAAACCAGGATAATATTCTTAAATAACAATCGTTCTTGTTGAATTGAAAAGACTTTTCCAAGTGTCTTCCAGCACTGTACTATATTCGGCTGACCTCTTAATTTCATAAATTAACTTTCCTTTGATTCCATTTTTATGGTGGTGGTGTTCACAGTTTTATTTTAAAAATTGGTTTAAATTTATATAAAACTCTGTACATGTTCACAAATTATTGCATAAACAGCATAATCTTCAAGACAGTGTTTGCAAACACATGTCCAATTCAGGGAAAAAGATATTCACGTTTCCCGTCTGGCTTTTTTCTTCTTTTTTATTTGTTTGGGAGATTCCCAGCTAGTTTCAGACTTCGCTGAAAGAAAAAAAAATGTGGGGGAGGGGGAATGGGAGGAACGAGAGAAAAATGTTACGAGGAGAGTAAATGCTGTCATGTCTTAAAATATGAAAGTAGGTTTTGAGCAAAATTCTGCACAGAGACTGGTGGAGAATTCCTTCTCTATCATTGTCTTTCATTGTGTTTGTCTGGCTTACCAGATAAGATGTAAGCTCACTATGACAGAGACTGCATTGTTCTTTTAGCAAAGAATCTCCAAAATAGAGTGGGGGCGGGGGGAGGAGGGTGGTGGTAGTGGTAAGAAAGACAATCTACTGAAATGCAAGATTAAAATATCAGAAATTAAGAAAAAAAATAAAAGAAATATAAAAAATGCTTTAAAATTCTCAATTTCAATGTTTTAAAATTTCAAATTCTAGTTATTTTTAAGTTTTTCCATGTTTCCATCTGTCTTTTTCTTTCAATTCTAATATATTAAGTTTAACCAGATGGAACTAGTGCTATTCAACAAATTCTGATCTAGAAATACTGCCTTTTTCTTTTTTAGAGAGATTTTTGCTATAGGGCGCATGCACTCGCCAGACAGAAACAGAAAGCAAGAAATAACCCTGTGAGTCTTTAAGTTGCCAGATTTGGGACTCGAACCCAGTTGACCACATGGGAGTGCAGGAACATAACCATTCCGCCATCTCCTAGTCCTGAAAAATTGCCATTTATTATGGCTTGACCTAACTAATAATAGAGAAAAATGAAACAAAAGAAAACATTACATTTCAAGGCTAGGGAAACTAAACTCATTGTGATATGAAAAGTCTTAGAGCTGGTAGGTGGCTTAGTGGTTAAGGAGTTGGACTCCCACATGGCTGACTGCAATTCAAGTCCCAGACCTGGCAGTTTGCTTTCTCATTTTCCCTTCCTCTCTCTGGTCACATTAAAAAAATAAATAATAACAATAATAAAATTATATAAATAATTCTTGAATTAAAAAAGCCTTAATAATTTAAAAATATTAATTTATCTAATTTGTTTGTTATCACTTATGCTTTTAGAAATTTTACCAGAGAAAGATAGAGAGTGAGACAGAAAGAGAAAGTGAGAAAGCAAGCCACTAAGTCTGGGACTCGAACTGTGGTCGGCTATGTGGGAGTCCAGCACCTTGGCCATCATACCACCTGCCAGACCCCAAAGCCTTAATACTTTTAATGCATACATAAGGAAAACTGAAAATCAACAATATAATTTTCCACCTCAAAAAGCTAGAAATAGAACAGCAAATTAAATCTAAAAAATTAAATCTAAAAAAGTAAACAGTGGGGGCCAGCAGGTGGCGTGGTGGATAGGTGCTAGATCCCACATGACCAACTGTGGTAGAAGTCTGAGACCCAGTGACTTGAGGATGCATGCATATCCAAAGTCCAGAGAGGGGAATGAAGAAGAAGGCATGACCTGGGGGATGATTTCTCACTTTCCCTTTCTCTCTCTCCAATGAGAGCATGTGCCCTTTGGCAAAAACCTTAAAAAAAAAAAAAAAGAGTACACACGCCTGATAAAGAACTATAAAACAAGTACAGACAAAATGGTTAAAATTGGGAACAGCAGATGGTGTAATGGTTATATTGTTGGACTTCCCCGTAGTTGAGTGCAGTTAAGAGTCCCAGATCTGAGGGCTTAAAACTCACACCATGGCATGGTGGTTAAGGGTGCTGGACTCCAACATGGTCTACCACAGTCTGAGTCCTGAACCTGGTGGTTTGCTTTCTCAGTTTCCCTCTCCCTCTCTAACTCTGTCCCTCTCTGGTGGTCAAATTAAAATAAATAAATAAATAGTTAAATAAAATAATTCTTTAAAAAAACCCCAAAAACGAAACGAAGAAAACTCATGCTGGGGGACCAGCAGATGGTGCAATGGTTACACTGCTGGCCTCCCACCTAGTTGACCACAGAGTCCTGGACCTGGCAGCCTAAAACTCCTGCCAGGTACGTGTGCCTGTGTGTCCAAAATCCTAAGAGGAGAATGGAAAGGAAGGGGACTGTGGTTTGGCCATCTTTCCAGGAGTTGGGAGTCTGGGTTTCTGACTTTCTGTCTGTCTTTCCAGCAAGCACGTGTGCCTTATAGCAAAAACCCCTCCCCCCACCTCACGTCAGGTGCATGTGCCCCAAATCCCAGAGAATGAAGGAGAGGGGATTGTGGCGTGGCCATCTCCTCTGGGGTGTGATTTCTTACTCTATCTTTCTCTGTCTCTCCATTGAGCACAAATACCCTATAGCGAAAATCTCTCTCTGAAAAAAGGAAAAGGTCAAAACCGAACCAAACTCACACAAAAGAATCTTAAGGAAGGAAAATAATAGATACATAAAAGAGAAAAATGGATAAATGGACACTCAAAGTTCTTGAAATAAGAAAAACAGGCACAGAACAATTTGCAGCCTCAAGAACATGTGCAAAGAAAAAAAGAGAGGGACTAGACAGAGGTGTGGGCAGGTGTCAAGTCTTTGTTCTCTGCCACCTACTCCATCCTCCAGTTATTTCAGCAATTTGGCTCAAACAAATGAAGTCCACAGGATTCCAAAGAATTCAGCATTTACAGAGTAAGGAAGGGCTGCTCTATGAATATACTAGATTACCAACACCAGAACTCTAACATTTATGTAAGGAAAATGTAAAAAGAACAGAGAGCCCAGAGAAGAACCAGGAATGAAGATGACTTACTCTGTGAAGGAGGCACACTGTTTTGCTTGGTATTTGACTTGGTTTTATCTGTCTCTTGTAACATCGGTGGCACTTGGGAAGAGCTCTTGTCAGAATCACTTTTTGATAACATAAGAGATGGCTCGGTAGAAATAACAGGTGGAAGAGTCTTGACAGGCTATTTTGGAATAAAATAATCTCAGATTTTTTTGTAAATCTCACAAAAAGAAATTAAATATCATAATAAACAGACATGAAGTAGCAAGTAAATAGAAAGTTGGTAGGGCCAGCAGGTGGCATGGTGGTTAAGGTGCTGGACTTTGCAAATGGCCAGCTGTGGTTCGAATCCTGGACTGGTGGCTTGCTTTCTCACTTCCCCTCTCTCTCTCTGGTGAGTGCACATGCCCTATAGCATATTTTAATTAATGTCTGGGATTAGAACTGTAGTTGTGAGTCCAGCAACATCACCATTACGCCATCTGCTGGTCTCAAAGAAATAATTCTTTAAAAAAAAAAATAGTAAGCTGGTGGGATTAGCAGTTAGTGTAATGGCTCTATCACTGGACTCCCATGTAGTCGACAGCGGTTTGAGTCCTGGATCCGGTGGCTTAAACTCCCGTCGGGCGCATGTGCGTGTGTGCCCAAGATCCCAAGAGGAGAATGAAGGAGAAGGGATTGTGGCGTGGCCAACCCCGCGGGGGTGTATTTCTCGCTTTCTGTCTCTCTATCTTTCTGGTGAGCGCATGTGCCCTATAGCAAAAACCTCTCCAAAAAAAAAAAGAATAGCAAGCTGGTTCTAAGTAATTTATCAATAGAGGCAATGCAACTCATGCCTGCCCTCTAGTGATATAAACAAATAAATATTCGTAGTATTTATGAATATGGGTTGAGATAAAAATAGATGAAAGTATAAAATTATAAAATGTCTATTGAAATTCAATTAGGTGTGAATAATTCCATTTACATTAACTTTTCTATTCTGTCTCACCAGAAATAGCACGAATGGACCAGTCAGTGCCGTGGTGGTGAAGGTAGATCCTCCATGGCTAACCTGGAAGCTTGAGAACACTCGGTGTGTGTGCCCTGTGTGTACGCATGTCCCAAATCCTGAGAGGAGCATGGAAAAGGGACTGCAGCATGGCTATCCCGAGGGGGTGCTTGCTCACATTTCTTCTCTCCAGTGAGTGCACATGCCCTATAGCAACTTAAAAAAAGGTATGATTGTGTATGTTGATTAGCAATTTAATGGTCCTGTCCACTTCTCATTAACTCTAGATTCCTCAACACTTTTTGTGAAAGACAAAAAATAAAATAGCTAACTTCAAATACCAGTAAGTGATAACTTTTATCTCCTTCCCAACAGGTAGAGGCATCTCATATAGCAACTACAGTAGCTTATCTCCTATAAGCAGGCTGTGGTTACCAGATCTCCTAACTAAAGTAACTGGTTAATAATGCTCAGGTCCAATTCTGCAGTTTCCAGTCTGATTGTGAAATTACAATGCTTAAGGTAGGGACTAGGCTTTATTTATTTATTTTTGAAGTTTATTTATAATTTCTTCTGAGAGAGTGACACACACAAACACAATTCAGAAGGACCCTCATACCATGTTCCACCTCAGCTTCAGCTAGCCCTGAATCATGGACACACATGTGCCTGGCATGTTCAGGGAGGTCTCTGGATGTAAACTCAGAACCTTCCCAAGTGGGTCAGCCTCACACAGTGTTGTGTTACCATGGTGCCACTATCTAACCCCTGGGGACTAGATTCTTTTTTTTTTTTAATTATTTATTTAAAACATGGAACACTTCATGAACTTGTGTGTCAATCATGCACAGGGGCTAGTAATCTTCTCTGTATCATCCCAATGTTGGTACACATGCTATGGAAGCAAGCACAGGACCAGATTCTTGAACCTCACTTTTCCACACAGACTAGGAGCAGGAAGGAGGTAAAAACTGACTGATCTAGGAACCAGCAGGTGATGCAGTTGTTAAGGCCCTGAACTCACACACGGCCCACTGCGATTTGAATTCTGGACCCAGTGGCTTAAAAATCATGTTGGGTGCGCATGTGTGCTTGCCCAAAATCCCAAGAGGAGAATAGAGAATGTACTGCAGTGTGACTCTCTCACCCAGGGGCTGACTTGTTATTTCTTCTCTCTCTCTCTCTTGCAAGCACACGTGCCCTATGGTTACACAAAAAATAAAACCTAAGCATAACCGTGATGAATGGTCAGGACAAAGTCATGCTAAAACTCCAGTACTTAGGAGTAGCCCAAGGCTGCGAGAGAGCACTTCATCTTAGGCCTACAATCACAACTCAGAATACAAACAAGTAATGTTTCTTTTTTTAAAGAGGTTTTTGCCTTAGGGCATGTGCACTCACAGGAGAGAGACAGAGACAGAGACAGAGAGAGGGAAAATGAGAAATTACCCCCTAGGAGGAAAATGGCCATGCTGCAATCCCTTCTCCTCCTGGAATGTTGGGCATGCATGAACAGGTGCCCAGCATGACTTTCAAGCCACTAGATTCAGTACTTTGAACTGTGGTTGGCCATGCGAGAATCCAGCAATGTAACTGCTACGCCATCTGCTGGCGCCAAAAAAAGAACTCTTACTTATTTATTAAGAGATTTTTGCTATAGGGTGAGTGCACTCGCTAGAGAGAGACAGTGAGAAATCAATCACCCCCAAGGAGTGATGGCCACACTGCAATCCCTTCTCCTCCAGTCTCCTCCTGGGATCTTGGGCACACATGCACCCAGACCCAGTGTGAGTTTCAAGCCACTGGTCCAGGACTTGAACCCTGGTTGGCCATGTGGGAATCCAGCAACGTAACTGCTACACCATCTGCTGGCCCCAAATAATTTTTTAAAAATAATTATTTTATTTAACTTTATTTGTCCATTTACTTATTTGACCAGAGAGGGACAGAGTGAGAGAGAGTGAGAGAGAGAGAGAGAGAGAGAGAGAGAGAGAGAGAGCATTTGGCTCCCTCAAATAATTCTAAAAAATATAAAAGGTGGGGGGCAGCAGGTGGCATGGTAGTTAAGGCGCTGGGTTCCCACATGGCCGACTGCAGTTCAAGTCTTGGACCTGGTGACTTGCTTTCTCATTTTCCCTCTCTCTGTCTCTCTTGGTGAGTGTGCATGTTCTATAGCAAAATTTAAATACAATTAATAATAAAAAAAAATTAAATAACTCTTTAAAAAAAAATGTGGGCCAGCCAGTAGCATGTGGTTAAGGTGGCTGGATCCCACATAGCCAATTATGCAGTTCAGTTTAAGTCTCAGACCTGGCAGCTTGAAAAACATGCCAGGTGTGTGTATGCATGCCCCGAATTCCAAGAGGACAGAGGAGATGGTGGCATGGCTATCTTCCCTGGGGGTTCTTTCTCACTCTCTCCTCTCTTTGGCAAGCGCATACACCCTGTAGCAAAAAACTTAAAAACAAACAACATACAACAAACAAAATGATTTAAGTAAAACATTGAAATGTCAAATCATCAGGCTGATTGTGGCCTACTGGTTATGGGAACTGGGCCCCACATGGTCAACACTGTTTTGAATCCTGTTTCTAGTAGCCTGAAAACCACGCTGGGTGTGTGTGTGCGTTTGTGTATCCAAAATCCAGATGGGATGGGGAAATAGTAAAGGGATTGTAGTGTGACCATGAAGGGACTGCAGTTTCGCCTTCTCTCTCTCTTTCTCTGGAAAATACACATTCCCTTAAGCAATTTAAAAAATGTCAAATGACCCTTTGCTATTTACTGTTGAACTTATACATGTAGGGGTAGCAGGTGGTGTGGTGGTTAAAGTGCTAGATTCCCATATGGCTGACTGCACTTCAAGTTCTAGACCTAGCGGCTTGAAAATCATAATGAGCGTGCATGTGTGTGTGCCCAAAATCCTAAGAGAAGAATAGAGAAGGGATTGTGGCATGGCCATGCCCCTGGGAGGTGATTTTTCACTGTCCTTCTTTCTCTCTCACTGGCGAGCACATGCACCTTATGCTACAACCCAAAGAAAAAGAAAAAAAAAATTTATACATTTATACATTTTGAGACTACACCACTTTATTACAAAACATTCTTAGGGGGACCAGCAGATGACGTAATGGTTTTGTCACTGGATTCCCACGTAGCTGACTGCAGTTCAAGTCCTGGAATTGGCAACTTAAAACTCATGCCATGTGCATGTGCATGAGTGACCTAAATCCAGAGAGGAGAATGGAAGAGAAGGGGTTGTGGTGTAGCTATCCTCCTTGGGGGGATGATTTCTCGCTTCCTGTCTCTGTCTCTCTGTCGAGCACATGCACCCTACAGCAAAAATCTCTCTGGAAAAAAAAAATTACAGTAAAAGGTACATAGTAGGTTCTTGATCATTTTTTTCTTTTCCTTTTTTTTTTTTTTAATTGCCAAAAGGTTTGTATGCTTGCATGGATATAAGACAGAGTACCCAACAAGGCATGGCCACACTGGGATAGGAAGTATGGGCAGCCATGTGGGATGTAGTTCCCTTTACCACTAGACTACAGGGCTGGTCCATGTCCAAATTCCTTTTTTTCTTCTTTACATTGCCAGAGGGTTGGGGCTGCCAGGTGGCATGTTGGTTAAGGTGGCTGGACTCCCACATGGCTGACCACAGTTCGAGTCCTGGACCTGGAGGCCTGCTTTCTCACTTTCTCTCTGTCTCCTCTGGAAATATTAAAATAATAATAATAAATAAAAGTTAAATAAAATAATTCTTTAAAAAATCAAATCAATAAATAAATTGCCAGAGGGCACATGTGCTAGCCAAAGAGAGGCACAGAGACAAAGAGGAGGAGAGGGAGAAAACAAACCCCACTGGAGTGAGGTAATGACCCTTTCCATTTCTCTTCTCATCTGGATTTTTGGCACAGAAGAACATGAGTCTGGCATGTTTTTTAAGCTGCCGGGGTTGGGACTTGAACCATGGTCAGCCAGATGAGATCCTGCTCCCAATGTATAGCACTTAACCACTGTGCTATAAAACTGGCCTTTAGTACCTTTTTTTTTTGAATAGGTAAATATTAGGTTTAGTAAAGTCATGACTGATTTTTTGTTCTTCTATGCAAAAATGAGTCATGACTTTCCCCACTACCCAATAAATGAACCACGCAACTTTAAAATAAATAAATATTTCATTTTATTCACCATTATTATTTACTTGTATTTAATTTTTTTTCTCTTTTTTGGAGAGGTTTTTTGCTATAAGGCGCGTGCGCTTGCCAGAAAGACAGAGAGAGACATAGAGACAGAAAGCGAGAAATCATCCCCCCCAGGGGGGATGGTCACGCTGCAATCCCTTCTCCTCCATTCTGCTCTTGGGATCCTAGGCACGCACGCACACGCGCCCAACGTGAGTTTTAAGCTACCGGGTCCGGGACTCGAACCGCGGTCGACTACATGGGAGTCCAGCGACATAGCCATTACGCTAACTGCTGGTCCCACTTACTTGTATTTAATTTTATTTATTTTTTTTTTCGAGGTTTTTGCTATAGAACATGTGCGCTCACCAGAAAGAGGCAGACAGAGAGACAGAAAGCGAGAAATCACCCCCCTCAGGAGTGACAGCCACACTGCAATCCTTTCTCCATTCTCCTCTTGGGATCCTGGGCACTACATGTGCCCCCGGTGTGAGTTTAAGCCACTAGGTCTGGGACTCAAACCACGGTCGACTACATGGGGGTCAAGCAACATGGTTGTTATGCCAACTGCTGGTCCCGTATCATTATTATTTTTAAAAATTTGGACAGAGACAGAGAGAGAAAGTGAGAAAGCAAGCTGTCTGGTCCAAGACTTGAATTGTGGTTGGCCACAAAAAAGGGGGGGGGGGACCAGTATGATGGCAAAAATCAGGCAACCCTAAGAAGAAAAATGATCACTCACAAGCCTATCCTACTAATGCTAACTTAATCATCTTAAATTACAATTTTCATCCAATTACCATAACTACAAAGCTAACTGCTTCTTAAAACAGAATTCTCAAGACTGGCAAATTACTCCCTGCTTGATCCCATCACAATTTATTCATGAGCGCTTTCAACCTCTTACATGGTCAACAAACATATTATTTGAGTATAATACGAACTATACTCAAATTTGTTCTCCAATTTCATTTTTAAAAAATGCTGTATCGCCAATTAATAAAAAAAGTTTGCAAAATCCAAGAATTGTAGTTGTCTACATCTGCTCCTCCTGGCTGAATAGACAATGTGTATAAAGAGGAAGTCACACAGACCAGCTTAAAATTTCAGTCCTGGGATTTTGGACATGCTCCTGAGTCACCATTTCCTCATATAAATGATAGGAATAAAAACATCTATAAGGTTTTTATGAGGTAAAATAGATAATATCAAAGGTTTATTACAGCATCTGCTATATACTAAGTACATAATAAATGGTAGTTATTACTATAATGACAATATAAGCACAAAAATGACTAATAATAAACAAAAATCTATGGAATGTAGGGACAGGAAATTAAGAAAGGTCCCAACATGTTCTTTTTAATAAAGTAAATACACTATTTTAAATCATTGTACCTGCCAAAAACATTATATGCCCAGACTGTGGTCTCTAAACACTTCCCACTAAAAAGAACCAAGGATCCTTGGGTAAACAGTTGATTCCAGGTGCAGGAAAAAATTAATCTGGGATATTTTATTGTGGCAGAAAAATAAGGCATGGGGCCAGCAGGTGGTGTGGTGGTTAAGGCACTGGACACCCACGTGGCCAACCATGGTTCAAGTCCTGGACCTAGCAGCATGCTTCCTTGCTCTTCTCCTCTGTCTCTGGTTAAATTGAAGAATAATGATAATAAATTAAATAAATCATTTTTTAAACAAAGTAAAAGAGGGACTACCAGTCAGCATAATGGCTATTTCCCTGGACTCTCATGTAGTTGATCACGGTTTGAGTCCCAGACCTGGTGGCTTAAACTCACGCCGGGCGTGTGTGCATGTGTGTGTGCCCAAAATCCTAAGAGAAGAATAGAGAAGGGATTGTGGCATGGCCATGCCCCTGGGAGGTGATTTTTCACTGTCCTTCTTTCTCTCTCACTGGCGAGCACATGCACCTTATGCTACAACCCAAAGAAAAAGAAAAAAAAAATTTATACATTTATACATTTTGAGACTACACCACTTTATTACAAAACATTCTTAGGGGGACCAGCAGATGACGTAATGGTTTTGTCACTGGATTCCCACGTAGCTGACTGCAGTTCAAGTCCTGGAATTGGCAACTTAAAACTCATGCCATGTGCATGTGCATGAGTGACCTAAATCCAGAGAGGAGAATGGAAGAGAAGGGGTTGTGGTGTAGCTATCCTCCTTGGGGGGATGATTTCTCGCTTCCTGTCTCTGTCTCTCTGTCGAGCACATGCACCCTACAGCAAAAATCTCTCTGGAAAAAAAAAATTACAGTAAAAGGTACATAGTAGGTTCTTGATCATTTTTTTCTTTTCCTTTTTTTTTTTTTTAATTGCCAAAAGGTTTGTATGCTTGCATGGATATAAGACAGAGTACCCAACAAGGCATGGCCACACTGGGATAGGAAGTATGGGCAGCCATGTGGGATGTAGTTCCCTTTACCACTAGACTACAGGGCTGGTCCATGTCCAAATTCCTTTTTTTCTTCTTTACATTGCCAGAGGGTTGGGGCTGCCAGGTGGCATGTTGGTTAAGGTGGCTGGACTCCCACATGGCTGACCACAGTTCGAGTCCTGGACCTGGAGGCCTGCTTTCTCACTTTCTCTCTGTCTCCTCTGGAAATATTAAAATAATAATAATAAATAAAAGTTAAATAAAATAATTCTTTAAAAAATCAAATCAATAAATAAATTGCCAGAGGGCACATGTGCTAGCCAAAGAGAGGCACAGAGACAAAGAGGAGGAGAGGGAGAAAACAAACCCCACTGGAGTGAGGTAATGACCCTTTCCATTTCTCTTCTCATCTGGATTTTTGGCACAGAAGAACATGAGTCTGGCATGTTTTTTAAGCTGCCGGGGTTGGGACTTGAACCATGGTCAGCCAGATGAGATCCTGCTCCCAATGTATAGCACTTAACCACTGTGCTATAAAACTGGCCTTTAGTACCTTTTTTTTTTGAATAGGTAAATATTAGGTTTAGTAAAGTCATGACGGATTTTTTGTTCTTCTATGCAAAAATGAGTCATGACTTTCCCCACTACCCAATAAATGAACCACGCAACTTTAAAATAAATAAATATTTCATTTTATTCACCATTATTATTTACTTGTATTTAATTTTTTTTCTCTTTTTTGGAGAGGTTTTTTGCTATAAGGCGCGTGCGCTTGCCAGAAAGACAGAGAGAGACATAGAGACAGAAAGCGAGAAATCATCCCCCCCAGGGGGGATGGTCACGCTGCAATCCCTTCTCCTCCATTCTGCTCTTGGGATCCTAGGCACGCACGCACACGCGCCCAACGTGAGTTTTAAGCTACCGGGTCCGGGACTCGAACCGCGGTCGACTACATGGGAGTCCAGCGACATAGCCATTACGCTAACTGCTGGTCCCACTTACTTGTATTTAATTTTATTTATTTTTTTTTTCGAGGTTTTTGCTATAGAACATGTGCGCTCACCAGAAAGAGGCAGACAGAGAGACAGAAAGCGAGAAATCACCCCCCTCAGGAGTGACAGCCACACTGCAATCCTTTCTCCATTCTCCTCTTGGGATCCTGGGCACTACATGTGCCCCCGGTGTGAGTTTAAGCCACTAGGTCTGGGACTCAAACCACGGTCGACTACATGGGGGTCAAGCAACATGGTTGTTATGCCAACTGCTGGTCCCGTATCATTATTATTTTTAAAAATTTGGACAGAGACAGAGAGAGAAAGTGAGAAAGCAAGCTGTCTGGTCCAAGACTTGAATTGTGGTTGGCCACATGGGAGTCTAGCACTCCAACCACCATGCCACCTGCAGACCCCTAAAATATATATTTTAATATGGTATAATTTACTCAGTTAGAAATCATATTTTGGGCCAGTAAGTGGTATGGTGGTTAAGGTGCTGGACAGCCACATTGCTGACCACAGTTTGAGTCCTAGACCTGGTGGCTTACTTTCTCATTACCCTCTCTCTTTCTCTGATAAATTAAAAAAACAGTAATAAATACTTTTTTTTTTAAAAAAAAACAGGTTTTAATTTATGTCACCGGCCTAAAGCTTTTGTAAAAAATATATATATTTTCCATAGAAGGTACAACATCTGAGAACTTGTCATCAAATTAAAAAAAAATATATATTTTGGGAAGTTCCACCACAATTAAATTTTGTGCACTTTTTGAGATAATACAACTATTCACATTTTCTCTTAGCTATCTGTTCCCTATATGCCCAATATATAGCAGGAAAAAACGTAGTGGCTCCCTCTAGCCAGAGAGAGGGAAAGTAAGAAATCATCCCCTGGGGGATCACCACACGGGAATCTGTTCTGTTCTGTTCTCCCCTTGGGATTTTGGGCATGATGCACATGTGCCTGGCATATTTCCTAAGTCACTGGGTTCCAGCACTTGAAGGGTGTAGTCAGCTATGTGGGATCTAGTCACCCTAACCAGCAACCTGGCTGGTCCCACAGTCCGATTTTACTAGCTGTGTGATTTTGGGTATTTTACTCACCTTTTCATTTATATAGTGGAGCCTACCTTTCCGATAGGAGTTTTTCTTTAAATTAAATTAATTATTATTATTATTTTAAAAAATGGTCATAGGGCATATGCACTCACGAGAGAGAAAGCCATCAGTCTCCAGGACCTGAGGTGCATGTGGGAGGATCAGTGCCTCTAATTACTACATCACCTGCTGGCCCCATGGAGGTTTTTATTATTATTATTTTTAATATTTTAATTTGACTGGAGAGAGAGAGAGAGAGAAAGCAAGCGGTCAGGTCTGGGACTCAAACTGCAATCAGCTATGTGGGAGTCCAGTGCCCTTAACCACCATGTCACCTGCTGGCCCCCTGGAGTTGTTTAAATTAGTCAATGTTTTAAAAATGCTTAGCACTATTGATTTAATGAAACTAGTTATGTCATAATTCTCAAGTCAATAAAGGTTAAAACTTATTTTAAGATTTAATTTTATAATTATTATTATTAGTTTTTTTTTTTTAATTTTTTGGAGAGGTTTTTGCTACAGGGCGTGTGCACTCGCCAGACAGAGAGAGAGAGAGAGACAGAAAGCAAGAAATCACCCCCCAGGGGGGATGGCCACGCTGCAATTCCTTCTTTTCCATTCTCCTCCTGGGATCTTGGGCACACACGCACATGCACCTGGCGTGAGTTTAAGCCACCGGGTCCGGGACTCGATCCGTGATCGACGATGTGGGAGTCCAGTGATATAGCCATTACGTCAACTGTTGGTCCCTAGTTTTCAATTTGCTATAGGGCATGTGCACTCATTAGAGAGAGAGAGAGAAAGAGAAAGTGAGAAAGCAAGCCACCAGGCCAGGACTCGAACCATGGTCAGCCATGTAGGAGTCCAGCACCTTAACCACCATGCTGCCTGGTGGCTCAAAAATAGGTAATTTAAAAAAACATACATTGATTCATTCATTCATTGTAATTTTCAAGTCGCTAGGTCTGGGACTCAATCCATGGTCAGCCATGTAGGAATCCAGCACCTTAACCACCATGACACCTGCTGGACACAAGGTTAAAACTTCAAAAAATATATATGGCATCAGGTAACTTTTTTTGTTTTGTTTTGTTTTCAGGCGCGTGCGCTCGCCAGACAGACAGAGAGACAGAAAGCGAGAAATCACCCCTCAGGGGGGATGGCCACGCCGCAATCCCTTCTCTTCCATTCTCCTCTTGGGATCTTGGGCACGCATGCACACACGCCCGGTGTGAGTTTTAAGCCACTGGGTCCGGGACGCGAACTGCGGTCAAGTACATGGGAGTCCAGTGACATAGCCATTATGCTAACTGCTGGTTCCATATCAGGTAACTTTTTAAAAGAATTACTTATTTAATTTTATTAATACTTTTTTTTTTTTTTTAATATGCTACAGG